CGCCGCTCTCTTGCTTCAACCATGTTTGTGGCGTTGGGATGCTTTGTTGGTTACCTTGGTTTGTGACAAAGATCCATGTGGTGGACACCCATGCCGTGTCGACCGAGGCCAACAAGGAAGACTTGTTGGAAAGTTGAAAGATGGCTTCTCCGCGATGAAATCCAAGAAGAAACCGTGATTGTCTAGTTTTAGTTCTTCAAGATTCGAAGTGAGGGCCATGAGACAACCGATGCTGACAAGCGCCGATGCAACTTGGACATGGGATGGAATGCACTTTCAGCTTTCATCACTCTGTTGGTCACTTGAACTAAACTTTCTTTTGTGGCCCCCTACCCATTGACGAAGCTCCCTCACGCGACTACTGCGTACCTACTTTAGTCTGGCATACGTAACCAACCGTGGGGCTGGGATTTTTGGCGCAATTTTGAAAGGTAAGCAATGTGCTTGGACACCTCACCCTCCCCCCTGGGTTTGTGAACTTACTTCCATCGTTCTCACGCGACAAGCCTACTGCCAGAACATCGTTTCCCTTCATATGTCAGTCGCAATTCGCGACTAGTTGGCCGGCATGGTCGTCAAAGTCATGCCATCCTCGCGGATGACCACAGCTATCTTCCTCGCTTGCCTGTTGTTCTTGTTCTTATACTCCTCTTATGTTCTTACTCCCTCTTATCATCCGACGTCCCCCGCCAAGCCCCCACCGGCGCAAACGCAGTCACATCCACCACAACATTCCGACAAACCGAAGGAAGATGGCCCGACGGCATGGCAGAAAGAGGCTGCTTTGATCAGTGATGAAGCCGAAAACTTAATCGGCGATCCCATCCAACCTCCTTACAAGTCGAAATTCTACGAATTGGGTCAGCGGGCCAAGAAAGCCCGAGAATGGGTCAAATTTCTCGATAACGCACCCAAGTCGGAAAACATCAAGCCTACTCTAGAGAAAGTGGAAGGCGCAATCGCATCATTGTTCCCTTTTATCCAACACTCACCAAAGCGCCCAGACAGCAAGACACCATTTTCGGATTTGCGTTCGTCCATCGTTCCCGGAACACGCGGATTCATCATTCCAACAGGCAAGGGAACCATGCGATATGCCACTCACCTCATCGGCTTACTCCAGAACGTCTTGTACAGCAACATGACAATCCAGATTGTATATGCCGGAGACGAGGACTTCCCATCAGCAGACCGCGAGAAGCTGCAGTCCCGCTTCAAGGGGATCGAATTCCTGGACGTTCTAAGCGTCGTCGACGATACGACTCTGCAGCTCGTCAAGGGAGGATGGGCAATCAAAGCCTTTGCGGCTCTGTATGCGCCGTTTGAAGAGGTCATTCTCTCAGATGCGGATTCGGTCTTCGTCCAGGTCCCGGAGACGCTTTTCTTAGACCCATCATATGAGCAGACAGGGGCACTTCTTTTCCACGATCGACTACTTTGGCAGCACTCATTCGCCGACCGTCACGAGTGGTGGAAGTCGCAGATTCACGAACCTAGCGCCACGCTAAATAAGTCACTTGTCTGGACCGAGGACTATGCCGAAGAGGGCGATTCGGGTGTAGTCGTTATTGATAAGTCGCGTCTGGACGTGCTGATGGGTCTGCTCCACGTAGCTTGGCAGAACACATACGATGTGCGGGAAGAAGTCAGCTACAAAATTACGTACGGCGACAAGGAGACTTGGTGGTTTGGACTCGAGCTCAGCGGGGCAACTTATGCCTTCGAGAAGCACTATGGCTCCATGGTTGGTTGGTTCAAGGACAAGGTCAATGACTCAATCGAGAGAATCTGCAGCTTCGTGATAGGACACGTTGATTTGCGAGACGATCTCATTTGGTACAATGGAGGGCTTTTGAAGAACAAAAAGGTTGACCCAAAAGAATTCGGGCTTCCGACTCATACCCTGGTCGACGGAACGTGGGAGAAGGGTGGGGACCGAACCCAGATGAGCTGCATGGTTGGGCACAACGTCAAATCCCTGAGTAAGGACGCAGAGTGGATTTTAAATAGCTCCATCGCATTGGCACAAGAGCTGGACAAGGAGTTTGGCTTCATTTAGTTTGCGGCTTTGTGTCTGCTTTGTCATAGCCTACGATGGGTTAACATGTTGCATCATACTCCTAGAACTTTGTTTCCTCTTGTCCATTAACGTATGTATGATTTAGAAGATCAGAATAGCAGACCATTACATGATGTAGAATATATTTTTCCCACCTTGATTCCTCTACTTCTAAGCTCCAGTCGGGCTGTAGCGAATTAAGATGCTTCTCGGATATCCTTTCTAACCGGTATAGGTACTCACTTCGCAATGATCTTCTTCAATCTGATTTCTCCTTCCAACAAGGAACTACCTTAGCCTTGAGGCCCTTCATTAAGCACAACCTTTGATACAGCTTGATTTTGAGCATGATGAAGTGTCAGGCTCCCTTCTCTAGTCTTCGAGAATCTGAAACTCCCCATCATTTCTTGTTCGCTGAGTTGGTTCTATGTGGACCGAGTTGCGACAACGAATTGCGTCTCAATCTAGAGATCTGTCAGTGCACGTCACTATCAACGTCACAGAAGCAGGGATGGACATCATGGCACTGGGTTGAAGGAACCACGTGATGTAGTTCAAGTTTTCTTGCATTTAACTATTGGCCCCTTTCATCGTCTGGACATCTGTCTACATGTACCCATGGTTTGATACGTTTGCCAGTGATGTTAGTCCCGAAGCAAGCTTGCCTTCATTCTCGGCTTCAAGCTTCAAAAGACACAGAATCCAGACTTTGAGAAGTGCGCGTGTAGAACATGAATGCTATTGCCTAACAGGGCGGTAAATTAGTGTGCGTTGATCTTGAGCACATCTCAACAAAACTATCCCAATTCTCGATAGTAAGTTCTGGCTACCTTCCAGTCTTCGTTTTACAGAAGGTATCAGTAATGATGTCATTAAACTCGTGTATACTATTGGGATACCATGCGAGAGACGAACTGCGGGTACAATGTTTTCTAGTCACGCCTCTTGGCATGACTATGCGGTCATCGTTGCCCGCGTCATTGAATACTTTCATTTCTATCCGTTCCTGGAGGTCCTTCAGCGAGAGCTTGATTGCAAAATGCAATTACCTCAGTATACCCTACAGAGTCCTCATGTAACGCCGCAGTATTTGGCAGATGCTTATTCCGAGGAGTTCTCTAGTATTGGAAAATTGACTGTTCCACAGGAACAACATGCAATTCTTGGCAAATTGTGGCGACAGTTTCATTGCAAGCCATTTGACACATTATTCTTTCATTGTATTTACAAGTTCCCACAGCCATGCAGTTGAAATTTGCTAGTCAACGACGCGTGGCATAGTAACTTGTCCCGCGACAGCCCCCCATTGAGGTGAGGTCGATTCGTCTCAATTTGAACTCCCCAAGATCACAAACTCCTAGCCTCATGTCTGGCCAGACTCCAATTTGGAACGTATTCAAACGTCAGTCTTTGTTGCTTCTTACGGTTGATGAAGGATGTTTCGCCGGTTTTCACGAACCGGTGGGACTTCGTTGATCGCTTTCCAAACACATTCGAGTCAAGGAGATGATGATTGGAGGGTAGGTGCCATCTGGAAAGCATAGCAGGGCAGACACCGACCAGAGTAAGACTACTACCACAGTAGTTTGCCTGTCACATAATCCAACCCCCTCGCTACGAACACGATAACGGTAGTCGGAAACAACTGTGCCATCGCATGAAAGTTTCGGACATCCGGCTGACAGCATTGCGCGCGTAGAGGCCTTCGCGTGTGCCTATGCCCTATTCGTCGAAGTAGGGAACCGAGGCATTTCCCACAGTAACGTACATCAGACGAAATACAGTAGCATTTTCGACACTTCTGGAACCTATGCGGAGCCCTCGGCAAAGGGTAATGAGCCAAACCATTAACGGTCTTCGTCATACTACATGGCTCACGAAACATGCGGGGTGATTAAATTGCTCTTTTATTCACAAAGCCAAAGACTTCTTCCATCCGTTGAGAAATCCCTGTTGATAAAGAAATTTTGAGACGAGCCTTGGAAAGCTCTGCCAAGAAGAAAAGAAAAGCAATAGAACCACCGCCCGCAAGATTGTTGAAGATGTTCAATGTCTCCTGAACCTCTAATAACTTCCTTCTTGCGACGGAGATTTCTTGTGTCCGCGGGTGGATCAATAATTCTCGTCTTGAAAGTCAAGTCATGCTGCATCTCTAGATGTATATGTCCGAAGTAATCAGGAGGAACACATTGTCCGAGGCTTACAAGAGGAAAAGTTTAATCGGTCGATCTACCGGCTTTTCAAGAAATTCCTGCGTTCCGGTGGGCGAATAATGAGACTCATGTTGAATGTTCAGATGATCGGTGTACAGGCCACCACCCATCACCGCCTATTTTGGACAAAATACCGAGAAACTGCGTCTACTAGTAGGTAGACATGATGTCACGGAGACGAACTAAGAAAAAAGACAGGAAACAGAGTTTCGTCAGTCAAACGGCCATCATCTGAAGGCAATTCTCTCCGTCACCCCCCTCATAGCTGATGGACCCTTATGATGGCACAAAGTAGGTGTCCTGCAACCCGATTGGAGAACTTTGAGTAAGTATTCGAGCCCTTGATGAATGATGCGGGTATAGTGCCCAAACAGGACCCCTCGGCATCTTCAGACGTTCAGCCGGTCTAGACATGTCGGCATGTCATCATAGCGAACGACGTCAGCATCCCGCCGGTCTGGAACCACTCGGGCAAGGCTGGTTTTGAAGCCTCCAATTCATCAACAACGATATCAAAACAACTGAGTCCTGTGAGTAGCGATCGAGACATAAGCTTCGTCGACATTGTTAGAATTACCGGGGTCATCCATAGCCCGTTTTTCACGACTACGAACATACCAAAATACCACATCAGAAAAGAGATATATACCTTCGAGCCCGCCTGCTCTATGCCCAAACGTTTTCCAACTCATCAGACCCACAACGCTCTAACAACACTTACAGCAATCATGAAGACTACCTCAGCCGCCGCACTTGCTCTCATCTTGGGATTGACCCAAATTCTCGCCAGACCTGTGAATGACCCAAGCATCGACGTCCGCGATGCCAACATCAACTCTTCACCTGTTGCCATTGAATCGCGACCATTGGAGCCTGACCGCCAAGCATTGAATCCATTCCTCGGCGAAGACATGAACTCCATCAGAAACGACAACCCCGACCCGAAGACCAAAATTTACCCCAAGAGGTCGGAGAAGGACGCGCCCTACTCTAGGTCTGAGAGAGATTTGAAGGCCAGCATCTACATCCCGAAGACATTCTCAGCATCATCGAACAAGCAGCCCGTCATTCTAGTCCCAGGCACCGCTGCGATGGCTGGTACGACATATCGCGCGAACCTTGGCCCTCTGCTGGCCAAGTCTGACTTTGCCGACCCCCTCTGGGTCAACATCCCCGATGCCTCGCTGGACGATGCGCAGGAGAATTCGGAGTATGTTGCATACGCTATCAATTACGTACAGGACATGACTGGCAAGAAGCCAGCTGTCGTCGCTTGGAGTCAAGGAAATCTCAACGTACAATGGGCTCTGAAGTACTGGCCCAGCACCAGAGACTCGGTGACCGACCTGGTATCAATGAGCCCTGACTTTCATGGAACCAAGGAGGCATTCGCAGCTTGCAAGACTCCTGCCGCTATCATTGGCTGTACTCCCAGCGTCTACCAACAGATGTATGATTCCAAGTTCGTCCAGACCCTTCGCGCAAACGGGGGTGACAGTGCCTATGGTAAGCTCACATCTTCGCAAATCATCTGGTCTAACTCTCTAACAAGTTCCTCTTAGTTCCTACCACTTCCCTGTTCAGCGCAACGGACGAGGTTGTTCAACCGCAATCAGGTCCCATCGCCTCGGCCATTCTCAAAGACGGCAATGGTGTCGAAGTTAGCAACATTGAGGTTCAGAAAGCTTGCCCCGCTACACCTGCTGGTGGCGAAGTCACCCACGAAGGCATGCTCTACAACTCACTTGCATTCGCCCTACTGAGAGATGCTCTCACCAATGAGGGTCCTGGCAAGCTCGACCGCATCGACAAGAAAATCTGCGCCGATCCTGCTGCCGGCAAGCTTGACGCCCTCGAGATCCAGGCAACCGAAGCTGTCTTGGTCGACGCCGGGGCGAACGTGCTAGCCTACCCCAACAAGGTCAGGCGTGAGCCCACTATCAAGGCCTACGCCAAGGTCTAAGCATCGAAAACTATGTTCTTGTCAGCGGGCTGGCGTGTAATATTCTTGTAAATTATTTATACACTACTTGTCAACAGTACTAGTAACGATACACGAGCAAGCGAGCGAGCGAGCATATTAGCGCATTGATATCGACATGGCTTTAGCGTTGCTTTGGTTCTAGAAAATAAAAATCTGGTTTTTTGATTTACAACCATCTGAGAACGAGGTCGAACCTTGCCATGACATGTGTCTTGCAGTGTAACTCCATGACTTCTCACCTTTGGATTGTGCACAACATATCCTATCTTTCTACATCAACCATCACATTTATCTAGGCCAGTTCCAAATGTTATGGTAACAATTTCTTTATAATGATGGGAGCAGAGGATGTGATGGAATGTAGGAAGTTTCTGTGAAAACAATCTGCCGGGGTAAGGCCAACCACTCGGCCCACTCATCTCCCAGATGTTGGCAGATTACTTCCAACAGATATGCCCCTGAATCGCCAATGTGCCAAAGGTCCCGTGCCAGATGCAGAATAGAAGCGTAATAAGCGAGAATAGCTATCGCTTCAGGCTTTCTTTCGGCAAGCTTCCTAGTATATTCCTCTGATACCATCAGTGACCAGGAAAATACCATCTGGATCAGGTACTTCCGACCCATGAATACTCTGGTGTCTAGATCATCTAGTGCGACCTGTATTAGGTCGATAGCCGACATATAAATCTCCTTCTCAGCGGGCGAAATGTTTGGTGATGTAGATATCAAGTCCAGGATGCTATCACAATCAGGACCGACACCTTTCAGCCGACTCAGGCCCAAGCCCCACGACATCAAAGGGACAAGCTCCGATGTCTTCAACAATGCCCAGGCGCGACTCACAATTACCCTGACGCCTCTCCGGATCCTGGCAAAGTTCACGTAGCAGTCAATGAACGGATCCAGACTGGTGCTGCGGAATGCAAGTGCGTCGATGCACAGATGACGGCCAAGGATGGCGGAGAACAGGACCAAGGGGACGCAGCTGGGCTCGTCTATCCGCGCCTTTTGAGCGTTGAATAATGAAATCGCTCTTGTTTGTAGCTGAACTGCGTCGTGTAGGAATTCCATTGCGTTTTCTGGCTCAAGGATCGACATATGCCGAGCTGACAGGGCAAGGATCTCGTGCATGAGGTACGGGGCATCGGACCCTGTCTTGAGAATGACTTGGGTGTTTCGTTCGATAAGACTCGGATCGAGTTCGGGCACGGCGAGTGCTAGAGAAAAGTGCACCAGGAATCTCATGTGCGCCATGTTGATCATATTGTCCGATAGACTGGGAGCGGGCTGGCCCATGTCGCCGGTATACACGATCAGATGGGCCAAGTCCGGAGTCGGGATGACAGCGGGGCTCCTCCCGGTCGGAGATCCGTACGGCGAATCCGGCTTCGAGGTCCCGGCATCTGACAGCACGGAGTCCTGCATGGATTCATCACCGCGTGTAGAACTTGCTACAGACCCTGGATCTGCAGTGTATGGGAATACACATGTGCGGTCCACCATCGTACAGTTGACACATCTTGGTCGAGTCTCATCGCACTGCTCATCCGATTAGTCGATGTCTTCAGCCTTACAACGCCCGTCGACGGGTTACGCGTAACAAATACGTGGAAACCGATACGTCCAGCTTACCTTCATGTGGCGTCGTTTGCACTCGGCACACCCCTTCCGGGATTTCCTATGGGAACGTCTGTACATGGTTGGCCCGGTCGATGGCTATACTGATGTACTCTTGTCGGCTCGAATACCGTCTAAGTTTGATGCACATCCCTGAGAATCCGTAGACCCCCGAATGCTTCGAAAGTCGCAGCGTGCCAGATCGATTCGGTTGTCAGCAATAAAGAGACATAAAGGCCACCGTTGAGGTTTTTCCACTCGACTGATCACTTTGCCGGCGAACAAACTTTAAAGAGTCCACACGACTAGCTAGGCATACTCGCCCAGCTTCTCTAAGCCATGATGCTTGACGTACGTGGACCTCAGCCGCGATTTGTTTTTCGAGCTGCGCCGGGTTTCATGGGTGATCCGTGGACCATATTATTAGTCTGTCCGACTTTATGCTTAGTTTCGCCCCTAAAAAGCTCTGCGATACGTGTATTCGGGAGTCGCCGGGCCAATAGTCGGCTATCTTTAGCGTATGACCCACCCGCAGAATACGTGTATTCGCACTTACTTCGGACTACTCATCATCATAGACTCCCAAGGCTGATTTCCAGATTTGATTCGTTACTAGAACTCGCACGGGACAGTATATACTTACCTAGACAGCAAGGAACTGTAGTAGGGCAAGCGTTACACCGTACTCTCTAGGTTCTAAGTACAGTACGCCCCACACCCCAGCGGTCCGCATCCGTCGACTAGGATCTCGCTGGAGCATTGTTGGGTGTTATCAATATCAAACAATTGCAGATAACATGAGCTGTAGGGACTCTTTAGCCTGCTGGATGGAAAAAAACACGATGGCCACGGTTTGAGCCCACTCCCACATCTCATTTTTGACGTCCAACAAGGGGTGAGCAACGGCCTTCTCCCTTTCTGAGTTAGATCGGCAATTCCACTTTTGTTCCTTACACAAACCTCGACTTCAAGCACGTATAAGTTCACTTGACTCGATGCATTCCGGCAGCGATAACATTCGAACGGCAGAAAACAATGGTTCTTTTCTGACATAAGTATCGCGATTAGATCAGGAAAGACGCGAGAGCCGAGGCATAGGCCCAGGGGCCCAGGGGCACTTGTCTTTCCTTGAAGAGCTCTTCTCACAACCGGCATGGCAGGATTTGAACATGCTTTTTGCACTCAGGAATCTCAGAAATGAATTTCTTGAGCTGAAATCACTGATACGACGTCCAGTATATGGTGGGTGAAAAAGCTTCTGCCTCAATTCTCAACGGAACCTCTTCAATTGATCAACTTTGCCATGAGAATTCTCGCAACAAGACGAATCCTCAAATGAGGGCAGAACAATCTTGTTGCCTGATTTTTGAACATAAATATTGGAATGAAATGACGACCGTGCTGTCGCTGATTCTCGATCGATTCATGAGTACATGCATGTATGCTTTGCATCTAGAGGTCTGGCCCCACGGGTCTCAGTGGTACTAGAGTGAAAGGCACTCGGTTGGTGGGAATCGAAGATAATTGAACCAATCAATGAGCCTCTTCGTCGGGATGCTGCTCCCTGCATGTCAGCATGCCGTTCTAGCAGCAGTTGTACGAGGAAATATGAGCCAATCGCTTTCATTTCTAGGCGCGAAAGGAACGCTTAAACAACACGACTGGGCATTTCTCGAGGCAGACTTTTGGTCGGCAATTCTTTTCTGGCCAATAGGAGGTTTAAAGAAGTCAAGGGTGATATTCGAGCATAGCAATCAGGGGGTTAGCAGGAACTCCCGCATTCTCACGTTCTTCTTGCACCCCACTTCCCTCATTTCTGTCACTCCCACATCTTTGAGTGCTCTCTGGATTTGCATCAGCGGCTCGCAATGGCAGATCCATTCGGGATCATTGGAGTCATCGGCGTTGCAGGTCAAATCATCAAAGCGGGGGTTGAGCTAGGAATTGATTGGAAAGAAGCGCCGAGCGATGTACGAAGCTTTTTGGGAGAGCTGGAGACGCTGAAAACAGTCCTTTCTGAGACCCACACCAACATCATCTTGAATCCGGAGTTCAAAGACGCTTTCGAAGGGCGGCAGTCTACAGTACTTTCGTACCTTGCGGACGGAAACTCATCCTCTGATCACAGCACCCCGGGACTCATCTCTGTTTGCCGGATTGAGCTCGAAGATCTCTTTACTAAGCTGCAGAAGCAGAGCGAAGGGCACCGTCTTGGCTGGGATAGACTGAAGGGGGCTTTCAGGAGCGAACGAACCCACGCCGCTGTTGACGACCTTCAACGAAGATGTCGGTTACTCAATAGCATGACAGCCATTGATAACGCTACGTTGACAGCAACAACTTTGGCGCAAGTCAAAGACGCAAGGAATGAGATGCGGCAGCAGCTCCAAGACGAAAACAAAGCCATGATTCTAGATTGGCTGACGCCAATGGATTTCGCAGCACAACAAAGCGACAACATTGAAATAAGATATGCTGGCACCGGACAGTGGCTCCTTGACTGCCCCGAATTCCAGACGTGGATCCAAACTGAGAACAGCACTCTGTTTTGCCCCGGCTTGCCAGGCGCTGGCAAAACGATCATTGCGTCGGTCGTTGTTGAGTACTTGCACAAGCGGTTTTCCACTGATCCAACAATTGGAGTGGCGTATGTCTTCTGCAATTTTCGACGGCAACACGAACAGACTATCCGAGACATTTTAGCTAGTCTGCTCAAATAGTTATGTCATGCTCTTCCAACAATGCCGGGTGAAGTACAGCATCTTTACAAAATCCAAACAAGAACCAACACACGACCGTCAAAGATGGAGTTAGTCAATTTGATACAAACAGTAGCATCACTATTCTCCAAGACGTTCATCCTCATTGATGCACTCGATGAGCACCAAGCCCCGGAGGGCCTCCTAGAGATAATCTCGGGAATACAAAAACTCTCGAATATGAGTCTTTATGCCACTTCCAGGTTCATTCCAAGTATCACTCAGCGATTTCGAGACGACCAAAGGCTCGAAATTAGAGCTTCGGATGGAGATGTAGCTGATTACTTGAACGGAAATATGGGACAGTTACCCACTTTTGTGAAGAGGAACACAGATCTTCAAACACAGATCAGATCGAAGATTGTGACGAGTGTGGACGGCATGTAAGTTAAAACTCAGCACAAATTAACCTAAGTCAACTGACGTAGAAAAGGTTTCTTCTTGCAAAGCTACATCTTCAGTCATTGACTGGCAAAAGATCACCAAAAGCTGTCAAAGCCGCTTTGGAAACACTCGCCACTGGCTCCAGCTCTTATGATACTGCTTACGATGAAGCCTTCGAAAGAATTGAAGGTCAACTAGAAGACCAATCAGCACTTGCCAAGGATGCATTATCGTGGATTGTTTGCTCGAAAAGGCTGCTTCAGATCGTTGAGTTACAAGAAGCTCTTGCAGTGGAGCAAGGTATGACCGAGCTCGACGCGGAGAACCGGCCTGAAATCGAAGATGTCATCTTGGCCTGCGCTGGGTTGCTCACAATCGATGAATATAGTCGTGTAGTGCGGCTTGTGCATTACACTACCCAGGAGTACTTCCAGCGGAACAAAACAAACCGACTTCCTGGAGCAGAAGCTCTGGTAGCAGCTGCTTGTGTATCATATCTCAGCTTCGATGTTCTCGATGCGGGTCAGTGCAAATATCGGAATGAACTAAGAGATCGCATCCAGGATCATCCGATTTACCACTACGCTTCAGTGAATTGGGGATACCACGTTCGGGAATCACATCACGTCCAGGAAGAGGTCATGTGTTTTTTGGAGGACCAGGAAAGACTGGGCGCCTCAGCACAGGTGCTTTTTGGCCCAAATCCCCGGTATTTTTATGAAGCCAGTCGTGTGACTAATAATGTCGCGCGGTGTCCAATCATCGAAACGTCTGGCTTACACGTTGCTGCTCACTTTGGACTTAGGGAGGTCTTCAGTCTTGTCTCGAACGGAAATCGCTCGGAACAAACACATTCTCTACAGGGATCATCAACCCGCACTTGTCACTGGAGGAAGCTCGAGATCAATGCACAGAACCCTGAGGGCGAGACCCCTCTTTTTGTGGCAGTATCAAAGAACTTTGTAGATCTGACAAGAGATCTTCTGGAATCTCATGGCGCAGAGGTATCCAAGTACACTCATGGGCAAACCCTTTTGTCCGTTGCTGTCCAAATGGGACACTACGACATAGTCCGATATTTTGTCTGTTGCCAATTAGGTCAATTTGATATCAACGAGCCGGACATGCATGGATCCACTCCATTGCTTTATGCAATCGTCAAAAATAACCAGGACATCATAAGCCTCTTACTCGACGTTGATGGAGTTGCATACAACCAAAGAGGCCCGGGCGGGAAAACACCCTTGTTATTGGCCGTAGACTTGGGACAAGACTTCACTGTCAAGAATCTTCTCGAAAGAGACGAAGTGGAGGTAGACTCGAAGGACAACGAAGGCCGAACCCCGCTATCACATGCGGCCAGCAACGGAGATTTGAGTATACTTGGTCGTCTTCTCGAAACAGACAAAGTGGAAGCCGACTCGAGAGATGATGCTGGCAGAAGTCCGTTATCATACGCAGCCGGAAAGGGCGATTTGGAAATAGTCAGATGTCTTCTTCGAACAGGAAAGGTCGATGCAGATTCCCGAGACAGAGACGGCCGGACACCACTATTTTATGCAGCCATGGCTTCCAACAAAGAGGCCGTTCGCTACTTTCTTGAAACCAAGAGAGTCGACGTAAACAAATTGGACGTCTTTCACCAATCGATCTTGCTAGGAATGTGGCCTTCCTACGGGCTCTGGGAAGGTCCGCAGTTTCGGACTGCGGAAACACATGCAGCGTTGATGGACACGACTGAACTGCTGATCGAAATTGGAGGGGCTGATCCAAATGTGCGCGACAATCGAGGGCGAACACTGCTGTGGAAGGCTCTTTTCCATGGCCATGTGGAACTGGCAGAATACCTCGTAAATACCGGTAGAATTGATGGATCGTCGAATTTGAAGGACATTGCCGGCCGGACTCCGATGGATGCTTTCGCCAACGAACTAGACAATGAAGGGCTTGCAATGAAGTCCGCTCTCGTGGAAATTTGTGATGGGCTGGAAAGATCGAGAGTGAAGAGCAACGACTGAGCTCAAGCTTCAGAAGAACAGGTAGCTGAGTTGTCGTTGTGAATGCTTCATAATTGATGAAGGCGGCACGTACTTATACTGCGCAAAGAAGGATTGTGCTGGTAAGGAAGTTGGGGGTTTGAGGCCAAAAGGAGATGATCCAAGTCCCTGAACTCGACTGGCTAGTCAATTGATAGAGGCTATGGCAAGACCTGGCCGTTAGCCGTGAGTCAATATAGTCAGACAGCACAGCCAAGTTGAAGGTTAGCTGATTCCCTCCAGAGACCACCTTACTACAGGGTCTATACGCTGCCTCAGTACAGTACCTTAGTCGTGCCCCAGTAAGTAGTGGCTCAACACCCGTCCCTTCTTTTCCCACTATCCGGGAGGAACACAACTTGTTGGCAAACTACTAGCCGAGCGAAGGGGAGGGATAGGGTCAGTGATTTCTAAGGAAAAACGATAACAATGATTCAACACTAGATACTAAGGTAGCTAAGGAAAGTTATAAATGTAGATGACATCAAAACTCCACAATGCCTGACCCAATGATTTCCAATCTCCACTGTATCCCCTCCTCCTCTCAGCCTCAGCTGTAATCCCTCCAAGACCTTTCTCTCCAGATTTCGCTGAATTGTTTCTCCCGGTGTTGTCCCTGCCAGTTCCCATAGCGTTCCTACACGAAATACAGATAAAACTTGTTACAACTCACTCATAACAACTAGTAATAGTAAGGAGACTGCAGAATTGTGGTTCTGATCGCCCTTGTGTCCCGTGTGACCACCATGTTCCTGTGTAAGTCCTTCCATCAAGTCTTATCCCATGCCCTTGACTCATACAAGTACAATCCATATCCTCATAAAAGCGCCCCATCATATCTTTGACGATATCTCCGAAAAACACTAACAATCTAATAAAACACCACTCACTCGTCTTCATGTCTTCGTAGTATGATGATGCCCATAACTCTTTCTCCCGTCTCTCTTGTATCTCTCCAAATGTTGTTGCTCAGTCTCTAGTTACTCCAGTCGAATCCGACGCAAAGCTTGCTCTTCTTGCACACAGCCTTGGTGAGAGTCTGGATGCTACCACTGCTCAGCAACTCGAGGACCTGCATGTTGGCCTCGAACTCGCGAGTGATAAAGTTACGGATCTCGATGGCGACAAGCGAGTCAAGCGGGTAATGCGACAAGCTGCGGGTGACGTCGAGGTCTTCAATCTCCATCATCAGGACGGCGGCAATCTTCTCGACCAAACCGCGGCAGACAACCTCCATGGCCTCTGTCTCGCTGCGCGACGCCTTGAGGGCGGCGTTGAGTGAGACGGCACCGTTGGCACCGGCCTCGGCAGCGGCAAGCTCCTCGGCGGCCAGGCGGAGAGCCTTGAACTTGGCATCGGGAGTCCAGAAGGGCTGGATGCTGGGCGTGATGCGCATACCAGTGATGACGTGGTGGTTGCAGACGGAAGTCTTGTTCGAAATGGATGCGCCGACGAGAGCAAGCACCTCGGCCTCGCAAATGCTGTCGGATCCCAAGTTCTTGGCGACCTCAGCAGCACGCTCGGCACTACCATCGGCCAGGTAACCGGCATCAGAGACAGCGGTCAAGTCGAGAGAGGTAGCGGGCAGACCAAGGGCAAGACGGTGCTGGACGAAGGCGTTGAGGAAGCAGTTGGCGGCGGCATAAGCGGCTTGACCACGGTTACCGACGGCTCCGGCAGCGGAAGAGATGGCAATGAAGAAGTCAAGCTCAGTCTGGCGCTCCTGGAGGGCATTGTGGAAGTTCCATGCACCCTGGACCTTGGACTCGGTGACCGAGGTGTAGTCGTTGTAGGTCATTTGCTCGAACAGAACATCCTAGACTGATGTTAGTACAAAGAAGGTGAGGTGAATAAGATGGGTAACATACACGAAGGACCATAGCACCGTGGATGACACCACGGACGGGAGGAAGACCCTTGAGGCCAGTGTTGAACAACTGCTCAACGCTAGACTTGTCGGCGACATTGCAAGGGCGAACGGTGATGTGAGCACCATCGTTAGCAGCCTCGTCGATGAGCTCCTTAACCTTGCCAGTGGCAGAACCACTGCGGGACAGGAGAACAAGGTTCCTGGCGCCGTGAGCGACCATCCACCTGGACATACTGCGGCCGAGACCACCAGTACCACCGATGAGGAGGTAGGTAGCATCATGCTTCAGAAGGGCCTTGGCAGCCTTGGAAGGAGTAGCCATGACGACATCCTCAGCATGAGGAACAACAACCAACTTGCCCGGGCCTTGGGTGGTTTGCAGCGTCTTGAAGGCTGTCTCCATGCAGGACACGGGGAAGACGGTGGCAGGGTCGATGGGTCGGAGCTGGTCGTCGGCAAGAAGCTTGGAGACATCAGCGACGAGTCTCTCCATAATCTTGGGCCTCTCGGCGGCAAGGCCGAAGATGTCGACACTGAGGAAGGAGGCGTTGCTGTCAGACTGGCCCATGTCGAGGCGGGTGGCGCGAGAGCCATCCTTTCTGCGAACATCAACGAGGCAACCGAAGCGGCTGAGGCAAGCCCAGCTCTCTCTCAGGGCATCAGCGCCGGGAAGGGTGTTGAGAACAACGTCAACACCCTCATCGTTGGTCGCGCGTCTAACGGCCGCTCTCCAGGTGGTGTTGCGGCTGTAGAAGATGTGGTCCTCAGGAACATTGTAGTGCTGCATGAGAAGCTTCTTCTTGGCGGCGGTGCTGACAGTGACGAAAATCTCAGCACCGATCATCTTTGCGAGGCAGACTGAAGCCTGGCCAATACCACCACCGGCAGAGTGAACCAGGATGCGCTGGCCCTCACGGAGGCGGGCTTGCTCGACCAAGCTGTAATAGGCAGTGCAGTAAGCCAAGGGAAGAGTTGAGGCATCCTCGAAGGACATGTTGGATGGCATGGCCATGACGTTGGCAGCGGTGGTGCGAGTGCGGGTAGCATAGGCACCGTGGCTGATGGTGAGGGCGGCAACGCGGTCGCCGGCCTTGTGGGCCCTGACAGCAGAGCCGACTCTGGTGACGATACCGGAAGCCTCGACACCAAGAGCGTGCTTGTCAGCCTCAGGGATCTGGCCCTTGGCGATCATGACATCGCGAAGGTTCATGCCGACGGCCTTAACGTCGAACTCAATCTCGTTCTCTCCAAGAGGCTGCGTGGCAGCAATGTCGTCAACGAAGTGCACCGTCTCAATGGCACCGGGAGTGGAGAACTCCATCTTGAGGCATCGTTTGTCCTTGCCGAAAGGCTGCATCTCAACAACGCTAGGGTTGGTCTCGCGGTGGACGAACTCGTTCATGTCCTCATCGTGAACAATGCGGGGAGTGGAGAGCTTGCCGGATCGCTCCATGAACTCAAGCTCGCTGGTGGACGAGGCACTAGCACCGAAAGCGAGCTTGAAGATCTCAAAGATGACTGCAGCGGAATCGTCCTCGTCGAGCTGGTTGTTGTCGTCCAGGTCAAGGGTAGCGAAGGGCAGGACAGTCTCAGAGCGAACGGTTCTGCTAAGACCGATGATCATGTTGGACTCAGGCGAGGTAGCCTTGTCGTATGCACCACGGACAACCCACAAACAGCCCTGGACACCAGCAAGCATGCCACGAACTTCGGCAAACTGCTCCTTGGTAGGGTTGGCAAGGAAAGGTTGCTCAATCTCAGTGAGGACGACGGTAAGCTTGCCCTCAGTATTGACTTCGTGCATGGTACCCATCTCAGGCAGTCTGGAGGTTGCACTGGCCAGAGCAATCGCGAGGCCGTTGGCCAACATCTGCTGAGAGTTGGAGTCGCCGTGAATGATGGCGACGTCAACATCGGGCAAAGGAGCATCAACCTTGACACCGGAGGCACCGTTGATCTTGGTCTTGGACTTGCCAGACAGCGACTTCAGAGTTCCAATCTCCTCCCACTCAAGCTTGTAGCAAAGCTCGCGAGCAGGGTTGCTAGCCAGCTCAGTCTCTCCGTCAATGATGGGAGAAACGGTGAGCTCATCAATCTCAATGACCAAGTCGTTGGATTCTGAGGTGGCGAAGACAGAGACCTTCGTAGAGCGGGCCTCGGCGGGGAAATCAGCCTTGCAGTATGCCTTGAGGGTGCTGCCAACCTCCTTAGTAAGGGCGGTGATGTCGCGAGAGATGGACATGCGACCGATGGAAGAGGGGAGGTAGACCGTGTTGATGTCAGTGCGGCCGGCGCCAAGGATGGGCCAGTACATCTCGATGACAGACTCCAAGAAGGTAGGGTGGAGGACAGAGCTGGTCTGGTAGTGGTTGGGCATGTCGGCCGCAACATCGAAGGATGAAATGGTACCAGTGGAGTACTTGTTCGACGCCTTGCAGTCCTTGATGCACTGGAAGGATGGTCCATAGCCGACACCAAGCTCAGTCAGGCGCTCGTACATGTCGTTCTCCGCAACGGCAACAGCCTCAGGGCCCTCGCTGGCCTTCATGGTAGCCTCAGCTCCGCGAAGAGCGGCGAGCTTTTGCTCCTTGCCATCGACCTCATTAGTCTCAGTGCCATGGAGAGCGATGAGACCAACACAGTGCTCTGTCCAGCCACTGCCGTGAGACCAAGAGCAAATGCGGAACTCCTTCCAGGTCTCGGATGCAGTCAGGTTGGTCTCCTGGTGGGGGCGCAGGTTGATAGTCATCTCAACATCAGCATCCTGCAGAGCTAATGGCTTGACGACGGAGACGTCTCTCAGCTCGTACTTCTCAAATGAAATCTCCTTGCGCTGAGCCCACTGAGCGGAAGCCTCCAAAGCCATGCCGATGAAGGCAGAGATGGGGAAGATTGTCACCGACTGGATCGCGTGGTGGCGAAGCCATGGAAGGTCATCTAAGTGGACAATGTTTCTCCATGTCGGCTCGAGATCGCTGGAGTAGATGGCCTCAAGACCGATCAAATCATTTCTGGGCGACTTGCGATACTTGTGCATCTGAGTCATGCGAGACTCTTGCCAGTACTTGTTCTGGTAGTTCCAGGCATAGCGGGGAAGATCAGTCAACAGTGACGGCTTCTTCTTCAGGTTGGGGAAGTTAACGTTGTCCATGTTGAGAATGGCACCCTTGGTGATCAAATTGCAGGCCAAGTCCATCGCAGACTCAACGGCATCCTTCTTACGGACAAGGGGAGAGGCATAAGGCACCTTCATGGCAGCCTCTCCGACGTGCTTCAGGATCTGCTTGATGGGTCCCTGGAGAGCAGAGTGAGGACCCAACTCGATGATCATGTTAACGCCAGTCTTGTGCTCGCCGACGGGCTCCAGCATGGTCTCAAGAGCCTCAGAGAAGCGCACAGGGCAGGTAAGGTTATTGACCCAGTAGTGAGCCTGGCACTCGAAGCCGTCGATCTGGTGTCCGTAGAGGGAAGAGTGGAAGCGGACATCGGTAGTCTGAGGATGGGGAAGCTCAGAGATGGACTCGCGGTATTCCTTGGCAACAAGGTTCATGTGGTGCGAGTGGTAAGCAGTCTCGACCTGCAGGCGTCTGTTGAACATCTGCTTGTCCTCAAGGTTCTTCTCGAGCTCGCCGAGAGCTGCGGAGTCACCGGAAATGGTCAAACTGGAGGGACTGTTGTAACAGGCAATCCTGACCTGTTGTTGCTTGAGAGCGTCGATCATGGGCTGGACTTCCTCCTTGGTTCCGCCAACGGCCATCATGGAGCCCTGAAGATCAGGGTTTCTCTGCTTCAGGATGGGGATGAGACGGCCTCTGTGGTAGGCAATGGCCATGGCGGCCTCGAAGCCAATGATACCGGCAGCGTACGCGGCGCCAATTTCACCAGAGGAGTGACCAGCAACAGCCGCGGGGCGAATGCCCCAGGTGCGGAGAAGGTCAGTCAATGCAAGCTGAACAGCACTGCAAGCCGGCTGAGAAATGTGAGCCTCGGAAACCTTGGAAGATTCTTGGTCTTTGCTGAGCTCCTCGACGAGGGACCACTCAGCACCCAACTTCCTCAGACACTCATCGGCTCTGTCAATGGCGGCAGTGTAAATGGGGTACTGGCCGTATAATTCGCGGCCCATGCCCCACCACTGAGCACCCTGACCAGTGAAGACGAAACCGATTCTCAAGGGCTCAGTCTCCTTGCCAGGAATGACCTTGCCGCTGTTGAGGGTCTCGATAAGCTCGAAAGAGTCAGTGGCGGGGATAGCAACCCTCCATGGGAGCATTGAGCGACGCGAACCAAGCGTGTATGCGATGTTGTCCATGAGATCGTTCTGGAAAATCTCTGGTCTCTGCTCGAGGTAGACAACGAGGTTCTTCATGACGGCACCGACAGAGTTCTTGTCGTTGGCAGACAAGACGTAGATCTTCTTTGTGCTTTTTGCCTTCTTGTTATCGGGAGGAGGAAGGTTCTTGTTGTCCTTCTTGGGGGCGCCGGTGTGAGGTGCCTTCTCAAGAACAACGTGTGCATTGGTGCCACCGAAACCGAAGTTGTTGACACTGATGTACTTCTTGTTCTTGGGGAAGGGCCTTTGAGTGGCAGGAACCTTCATGTTCCACTCCTTCCACGGAATCTTCTCGTTGGGCTTCTTGAAGTCGTGGTTGGGAAGGAGGAAACCTCTCTCCAGCATCATGGTTGCCTTGATGACACCAGCGATACCAGACGCCGCTTCCAAATGACCAATGTTCGACTTGACTGAGCCGATGAACAAGGGATCCTTCGTTGATCTGTTCTGGCCAATGACATTGTGGATCGCGGTGGCCTCAATCGGGTCACCGACCTTGGTACCAGTGCCGTGGGCCTCAACATAACCGCAGTCATTGGGGTCAAGACCTGCGTTTCTGTAGATCTGCCTCATGAGCTTCTCTGTGAAGATTGTTAGTAAATGGTTTCATGAAAAACTGGATGCAATGTGGCATACCCTGTGCTGCGCCACTAGGCATAGTAATACCAGGCGTCTTGCCATCCTGGTTGATGCCAGTGCCTCTGATGACCGCACGAATTGAGTCGTTGTCTCTGATGGCCTGGTCGAGGGGCTTAAGGATAATCATGCCACAACCTTCGCCTCGGCCGAAACCGGTACCGCGCTGGTCAAAGGCAATAGATCGGCCAGAGTCCGCGAGCAATCTGCAGTCATTGTGTCAGTAACGGAGAGACAGTGTGACGAAAAGCATCCAAGCGTGCAGCGCATGCCTACCTGCAAGACGAGAAGGAAATCCAAAACTCGGGCAGCATGTTCAGATGGCAACCACCAACAATCGCTGAGGTTGACTCGCCAGCACGCAAACTCTGGCACGCCAAGTGGAGGGCGACCAAACTTGCTGAGCAAGCTGTGTCTGCTGTGAAACTCGGTCCCCTGAGATCGAAGAAATGTGAGAGTCTGTTGGACTGCATCGCATGGGCACATCCTAAACCGTATATTAGCGCAATAAAACGTCTGGGGTACAGGGGTTACCCTCATACCTGTGGCTTGATGCATGGGGATCGTGTCACTGTCCCTGAACAAGTGACTCTCGTACTCGGCGAAGCTGCCGCCGACAAAGACACCGACGTCTTTTCCAACAATCGTGTGCTTGGGGATACCAGCGTTCTCGAGGGCCTCGAATGTGCACTCGAGCAGAAGACGCTGCTGGGGGTCCATGGAGATAGCCTCCTTCTCCGTCAAACCGAAGAAAGGAGCATCGAACGACGCCAGGTCGACGTCCAAGAAGTTACCACCCTCTGCGTGGTAAGCTCCAGTCTTGCCCGGGTTCGGGTGGTAAAATGCTTCGTGGTTGAAGCGCTCCTTGGGCACGGGAGTAAAGCCGGTTCTGGCGCGGGAGCACAGCTCCCAGAACTCGGCGGGGCTGGAGACGCTGCCGGGCATACGGCAGGCCATACCGACGATGGCGATGGGCATCTGCTTCAGGCCGGCGTCGCTGCCGCCGACGGGGTTGGTGTAGCCCTGGCTCGTCGCATGAGCACTGGCACTGCCGTTGGAGTGGCCATTGGAGTGACCATTTGTTGATTGTCCGTGAATGTTGAGGCCGACACCGTCTAGGGGCCCCACGGACAGGCTAGTGAAGCCATCGGATGTGGTATCGGAGTGGTCGATCGGGGTCATCATGACAGGACTTGCCGATGGCGATGTCCCCGATGAGGAGTAGGACAGCACGCCGGGCGCCATGATGAAGGGTGGAAGAGGGGGATTGGCGGAAGCCGCTTGTATGTGTCGAATCTATCCAGCAAGCATTCGTCGAAAGCAACGAAGAAAGTGACAGCGAAGGTTCCGGCGCTCTAGGCGTTCCTTACAATGATCAAAAGAAGAAGGGAAGAATGCGGATGAGGAGGAGGAAGAAACGAAAGGCGGACTGCGTATGCTCTAGATAGAAAACTTGGGGCTTGGAAGAGGGCAGGCCGGATTGATATGGGAGTACGTACCAAGCCTCGTTGAGATGAGTGAGTGTGACGAAACTTCTTTCCTGGTCCTGATTGGGATTCTTCGTAGGGTTTTTAGCTGATCAACGGCCATGGGGAAATATCACACTTGATGGTGCTCGCTCCGTCGCGAGTGAGTTGACATGGAAGGCACTGGTTGGTGCTCAGATCGCCAAGTCGGCCGGAGTTCCTCGCACAGACTAGCCTGTGTGATTTAAATTTGCCTGACGGTTAGGTAGATCATAGGGAGATCCCGAACGTGCATACTGGGCGCATGCCAGGAACGAACAAGGACCATCACGGAGAGGTGCCAGGGCACATCCGATGCCGGGTTGCCCATGTTGACCCGGAGCAGCGGAGCAGCGGCAGTCCCTGCTCACCACGACGTCGCCTCCCCCAGATTCACCAGGGAGGACTGTCCAGCATCAGCACGAGGGAAGTGGCCCAGTGGCGGCCGAGGCGAGAAGCTTGTACCATGTCTATGGTTAATCTGGTCAAAAGCAAGTCCTCATGAACTGATTATGCGTAATGTGTGGGCAAATTGGTATATCCGTTCGTCATATTCGCGCATCACTGGAGAAGGGGTAGGAGGGATATGCGGTCCATGAAGCGGCGAGAAGCAGGACCGGCGGTTCATCGTCCAAGGGGGTGTTTCCATGTCCAATCGGTCACCGTGATTCGGAGACATGATCAACTGCAAGGCGGTTTGCCCTTGATTTGCTGGATGCTGGATGGCGTGAAGACGTGCCTTAGTTTGTTTGCAATTGAGCGGCACTGCCAGGCTGGTATGCAGTCTGGTATGCAGTTTCTCTGCAGAGTGCAGAAGCCGGACGTTTGATTCGGACCAATACATGGGAACGCAATGAACACTCGAACCTCCCGGACGGGAGCCCGGTGGCGTGGTTCGGAGGTGAGGTGGTGAAGTCGTCGCCGAGGGGAGTTGCCATGGTGTCTGCACCGGTACGCCGCACTACGCAGTAAACGGCTGGGGGTTCTCTTTGGGGTGGGTAACTCCACTGAAGCATTGGACCGTGAAGCAGCAGCAACGGCAAGCTGGGCCATCAGGAGGTGGAGCAGCAGCATTGGAAGCACCAGAGCCAAGCACAGCGCGGCATGGCAACGCAGCACGCAGTGTGCTCCGTGGACGTGAGAGACGAGGTCATTGCGGCATGGTCCCGACTCGGCCTAGCAGGCCGGAGTGGAGAACTTTGTTGCGGATTATGTAAGTCTCGTTCGCCGTCGTGATTGGCTTCCCGGAGGTTCTTTGAGCCTCATAAACTTGAGGAGGCTCTGTTAGGATTCACTTGGGACTCTTGAGAGCCATTTTGCGGCCGATGTCTGGAAGTTGCCGCTGCAGTGGCGACCCAGTAATCCAGTGCCAAGGGAGAGCAAGAAGGATGGGATCCTGCAGCTTCTGGCCACAGACTGATCATCTTGCCATCCTACCGAATGAGACACATACAAAGAGAGACACTGAGAAAGAGGCAGAGCAGCTCTGAAAGCTGCCCGTAGAAGAGATGATGGGGCGGAGTGCATATTTCTCCCCATCTCCAGGCAACCGTCTGGACCTACTTGCTGGGAATATCTGCGGGTTCTGTGGATTCTGCAGAACATTTGCTGGAGAAACCCAACGTGGCGGAGCTTGTCCCTTCATCTGCTCTCATGTTTAGTTGGTCTGGTCATCGGCGCTCGTTTGTTGTTCGGTTTAGAAAAGAGTGCGTCTTGTGTCAAAAGCACCGACGGTCACGATAGCAGCGGCGGAGGTGTCGAGGCGTTGCGTCTGTTCTCTGCCCACTTTCGTCCCGAAGACATGGTCAGGACCAGGACAGAGGCCTATCGCATCAAGCAAACCGAGACCCTCTGCCAAGGTATGCGGTGCCGGTTCCTATACAGATCAATAAGAAAGGACCCAGGACCGTTCCAACGTCTGTCTTACTGTAAGACAGCCCAGCGAACGGGATTGAGTGGGCACTCGGCAGCAGCCTTGGGGCAACAGCAGTATTCGTAGTATACCTGCGTCTGGAACAATATCCGGCGGGCGAGACATCTGGGGAGAGAAGGGAGAATAAAGCAGGGGTTGAAAGGTACAGAAAAACGCGGCGGCAGATCCAAGCTGCAGAGAGTTCGCAGTGATTGCAGGTGGGAGATGCAGTCTTCGAACGGCACCATATGCAGGTGTTGGTGCAGGATCCCGAAAAAGGAATAGTCGGATCTATCGCCCGAATTGGCTTACCTTGGCCCTTTTCGCCTGACCTGGCGACTGGGGATTGGGAGAAACGGGAGATGAGGATGAAGAGAGGATGAAGTCAACGTAAGGTCGCCTTGGGTTGCACCGCATATGACCATGTCCACTTTATCGTCTTATCGACCTATCGCATCTACCCTCCTTATCGTACTACACTGTCTAAGACATTGTCCTGCTTAATGCTCCATACCCGTGTCTCTGGTCCACCTCGATGGAAACTCTCCGCAATACTTCCACTCGCATCTCAGCCCAACTCCCTTGAACATTTCCACATCTCTCGGACACAACTAATTACACATCATCCTTCTCGACAACAACAATCGTTGCCGCAACTCCATCGAGTCAAGAGAGTTCGGTCTCGCATTCAGGTTTCGACTCCCTATCCCGGTTCCATTCGTTGTCACTGGCAGAGAACCCAAGGCATGAAGGGTGTTTCTAAAACTGCTTCTGTCAGAAAGCTTTGGCAGCTTCCAAATCACAAGCGCGCCCTCCGTCGCACCTCCTTCCCGTGCCGTTGCACCATCAAAGCTCTTATTTGACACGCGCCAGCCACACTAGAGGCCTTGTCCCTGCACCGCACTCGATTTGCGCAGGCGTTAGTATGGTTCTACGGTCGTCCTAGCTCGAGTACAGCTGGAACCTCAAGGAGGTACCTCGGACTTTGCCGCGCTGCAGTACGCTTCGTTTGTCAATGTGTACCTGAATCCTACCCCTACCCACTAACTCACCCTGCGCTATGCTCACTCACTCAAGGATCACATACGAGAACTCTCATCCCCCAAATGTGTCCTGTTCCATCCTAGCTCATCTAACCACATCCCGTCAAGTCGTTCTGCAAGTCAGCGAACGGCCGTGTTCCAAGGAAACGCATCTTTGCAAAACAATGTTTCCTTCTCTGCAAACACACGCGCCTACCGTGGGCGCCGCTCACTCACTCACTCACTCATCCCCCAGGCCACTCAATCGCCCAATCTCTCTCACCCGCCTTTCATCCTCGCTTACTCTCCGATATGTACGCACAAGCGCACTCTCACAACCTTCTCATCCCACATCCTCATTCAAGCCCATCATGCTCTTCAGCACACTTTCTGACTATCCCACCCATCCCGCTCTGCTCATCTCCTCGCCCGTTCTAGTCAGATAGACGAGACCGTCACACCCACACTGCGCCCCCGCGCGGGCACTTCCTTATCCCGTTTCAAGCTTACAAGGTGACAAGAGCCGGACCGAAGTCCAGCCCAAAGTAGTCCATTCACAACCAACATGTCATCGGTTGCACCAGTGCATCACCAACGCGTCGACCGAGGGTTCGGATCTCGGGATGCCCAGAGACTGACTGGCAGCCTGCCACGTCTATCAGACTATCTGCCAAGTGTCTTGCCTCTCTCTGCAGAGAAGCCCACTGGCAGGCATTCCTCGACTCCTTCCATGTGGCGTGGCGTCTCGCCGCGCTTGTTTCGCCTCCATGTCTTGAGTCGCCCACTCACTAACATCGTCTATCCTCGTCCAGTTTTTACTCGACCGAGGACCGGGACACCCTGCCAAGCCGGTCTCAGGACCGATACTCACAGGCCCGGTCTCACATCACCTCATCATTCCAACCCTTTCAGTGAAGCACTCATCCACCCATCAGCCACTGGTCCAGTATTCCGCTCCAGCTCTCGCGCTCCCATAGACAGCCCAAACCGACCCGTTGTTCGGGTTGGTCCTATCATTGAACGGCAAGGTACCGACAAGACAACTCATCGCCCCAATCTTGCTGAGGTGCAGAGTTTCACAAGTTTCTTATTCGTTCCGGGTCACGGTCGATTTGAGTTGTCATTCTAAGCCTGGGACTGGGTCAACTCAGCCGCCTCCTGTGTCTTGTCGTCGTCCCGCCTCAACTGCTGCGCCGTCTCATTACCTGTCTGAGCTGATGATTTCGTCGTGGGTCGATTACCGCGCATCATATCACAAGTGTTTCTTTAGATAGCTTCGAATTGATTAAAACGCTCCTGTTGGCCAGGCCATCCTCATCGAACTATCTCATCTCCACACCTCGCTGATTCATCATCCACAATCATCAACATCATCAAACCACTCCATCACAAATACTCTCGCGTCGACTTTCCAGCTTCCCGCTTTTTGACAGTTCACTTGTCATTGGACGATCGGTCTCGCTCGGTTCCGCTCTCACATCTCACGCTAACACATACCTACATTCACCATGTTGCGCTTCTTGTGCCTTCCCGGTGCCTACGGCAGCTCGGACGTGAGTACTCAGACCTGTTGATGCTATCTAGGGCATTTTACTAACATACACTAGAAATTCCAAGTTCAACTTGGTGAGTTCTCCCTCATGCAGTAGAGTCACCACAGACTTATCGTGAGCGGCTTCACTATTGAGATTCACTTACTGATAGTTCTCTCAGCCCCCATCTTGAAGGAGCTTACTGAGGATGGCACGGCTCAGTTCCACTTCATCCATGGACCTTGCAAGGCCGTCCCGCCTCCGGGATTTGAGGACTATTTCGGAGCTCCCCCCTACTACCGCTTCATCGAGCCCGATAGAGATGTTGAGAAGTCTCACAGCGACGATGTCCTCATGCGCATTCGTGACTTCCCCGACTGCGAGACCCCCGAAGACACGATGAGAGAGCTCATGAGAGAAGGCATCGCAACCACCCACCGCAGTACCGACAGAGCCATCAAGTTCCTGGCCGACATTGTCGCGAAGCGCGGCCCCTTTGACGGCATCATCGGCTACTCCGAGGGCGCCACTGTGGCATCCACCTTTATGCTTTACGAGCAGCGTCGTCTCAAGCGCTCCGGCATCAAGCCGGCGTTCAAGTATGGCATCTTCTTTGCTGGCTGGCCTCCGGTCGACCCCAAGACTCACGCCCTGGTCCTCTCTGACGAGAGCGAGGAGCGCATCGAGGCCCGCACCTTGCACATCAGTAAGTCAAGATGATATTCGCACTGCTTCAATGCTGCTTATCCGGAGGAATGCTGACGATCCTCTTCCTTTCAGTCGGATCCTTGGATCCTTATGTCGATGGTTCTATGGCCCTTTACAACATGTGCGATCCCGACACCGCATATCTTTTCGACCACGCCAAGGGCCATACCCTACCCCGTGACAAGGATACCATCAAGGAGCTTGGCGACATCATCCGCGAGACCCAGGCTGACATGCAAGAAGAGGGTCTCTTGTCGTAAGGATGAAGTGTGGGTGAGGGGTGATCCCAGCTGAGGGAATATCCCCGGATAATTAGCATCGATTGTCGTTTTTGGATTTTTTTGGATTCATGGACGGGGCAAGGAGGTACATCAAAGGGACTGGTTTCCTCCTCGTGTCAGCATTAGAGATAGACGGGTGTTTGGCATGCCGCATATCCTGGAGCCTGCTGGAGTCGGGTATTATGGTTATTTGGGTTTTCTTGCGTCGGTTTATGGTTTTCCTGGCTTACTGGTTTTCAAATCATGTTTATCGCCACCGACTTCTTCAAGGGGGTTTTGGATGGGTTATTAGTTGCTAGGCAGGACGAGTGCAGCTAGGAATTCTAGATGGCAATGCCAGAGCATTTGACAGGAGTTCCCATCACGGGTCCGTCAACATGTCAAATGTGATTGATTGACTGACTAGAGGCTGAAGCGCATAAATGCATGATCCGGCGGAAACGAACTCCGTAGAGTCTAGAGACGTTTGTCTTTTGTCATGATGGGGTAGGTATGGATCTGTCAACTAGCCTTTGGAGTCAAGATGTCAAATACTCCATGTGCCAGAAATACACATCATGGATAACACATGTTCCTAAACACAAACACGGGCAGAGAAAACGCGCTGGGCAAGAAATTAAAAACGATCCCTTCACGTGTGGCCTCGGAATCGCATCCCCTGGCTCGCGTTTCTTCCGGCCAGCCAATCCATGCCGCTCATCTGCGAACCATGGACACCACTTCCCATGACTTGTAAAACAAAAGATGAAATCTCTCCATTGAATTGCCCTTCTAGGCATTGATCGTCAGAGATTGGCGACACATGGAGAAAATGAAAGGGTGGTGAAGGGGAAGGGATGGTGTGGACGGGTAAGGATGAGGAAGGGGGACTTGGGTGCAGTACCTGTCTTGGATCGCAAAGCATGCGTTTCCTGGCTTTGCCCCAGACCACTCTGGGACGAGCCGGAAGGTGATCCATCCTCCCGCACGGGCGATCCCAGATGGCCCCTCAACCTGCATATGCGAGTATGAGAAAATGGTATCCCGTCGTTATTCCGTGCTCTGAGCATGCGCTTTGGCGTCCAGAGCTTTGACACGGAAATAGTGCAAAGTGAGTGAGAAGACAGACATACGAAAGTACCCGCGAAAAGAAGCGGCAAAACTGGAGCACTGCACCGAAGACTAAGAAAAGAGAGCCCCCAGCAAAAGGGAACATGAACACATGCTTCTCGTTTCATCTTTACATCACACGGGTAGAGAGAAGAAACCACGTCCGTTCCCTTACTCGTTTCCGCTTGCCCCCTCCAAGACCGATCTGAGCTTACCATCACACACTCTCAGCCATCTTTGCCCCCATTCCTTCCATGGCCCTTCCTCTCCTCCACGCTCCTCCCACGCTCCGCCCTCTGGGTCTGGGTTTCCCTATTGAGTTCCACTTGAGCGTTTCCTACCTCTGAATCATCGACTTAGACTTGTCTTTGCTGCCCAGGCGTCTCCCCTCTCAGTCCCAAGGCATCAACCATTTGCTCTCCCCAAGAAAGGCACCCTCTACTCTCTCTCTGTCTCCGTCTCCAAATCCATCCCATCTCTCCCACCAAGCAATCTCACAATCCTCATCCCCAAACAACTCTCTCGGCGCTGGGTCGATTTCGCTGTTTCGAACAGCGATGCGGAACCAACATAGCCCTTTGATCACTCAGGTGGCCCGTTGACAACCTTAGTGGTTACATCTGCCGTTCCCTCCATTTACAGCGATACCCCCCATCCCCCGACTTCCCCTTTCCAAACCCTTGCCCTGTTCTCCCCTTCCCCTCCCCTCCCCTCCTGATCGAGTTTTGGCTGTGGTTTCTTCCAGAGTCCCATCTGCGATTTGCCAACTTGTCCATCCCCCGGATCCTAGCAAGTCGCCTGCTTGCTCTTTGTCAACTGTTGGAGACTACCGCGGGACGACAAAAAACGCCACCCTCAACATACTTGAAAGCAACATCTTTGGCATTTGACAAATCTTGCCACGACTTTGGGTATCGAACATCGCATAAGGACACGAGCATTTAGTCAAAGTATACCGGATCTACCACTCAAGCAAGCCCACCCTCCTCACACGCCGATCCCTGGTCAGCTCCCACATGGCCCGGGCCTCCACATAGCTTGCAACCCAAACACGACCTGCCGCCGGACCCGGTATCCGATCATCCACCCCGGTCTACGAGACCCACTCCAACACCCGAACCCACCATGGCCACGCCGGCCGGCGCCGCTGATGCGGCAGCTCCGGCTGCGGCCAACGGGGCCGCGGGCGCCCCCACCGATCCCGGTGCCACATCGGCGGAGCCTAAGAAGGCCTGGTACAAGCTCAACGCGAAGACGTTATTGACGATACGCAACTTCTTTGTGTGTTCAATTCACTCTAGCACCTGGTCGCCATCGTGGCTTCGTCGTACACGTTCTTTGCTGACCGGCGACGCAGAAAATCTTCCACTATGGAACATTACTCGACAAGTTTATCATAGTGGGGTCAATCATTGGCGCTATCGGTGCCGGCCTTACCATGCCGGTGATGAACATTGTATTTGGTGAGTGCATCTCCACGCTCAAGACTATACCAGCTCACTAACGTGCTTAGGACAACTGGTCGGCACCTTCACCGGGTTTTTTATGCAAGGTACATCAGAGACACAAGAAGACTTTGAGAAAGCAGTCAACCAGGGAGTGTAAGTCTGAGCCTGTATGCTTGTTTGGCCGCATCGACTGACGTTTGACCAGATTATACATCGTCTATCTGTTCATTGCCAGGCTCATCTTGACATACCTCTCCAATGTGAGTACTCTCAAAGCATAAGCTCTGCGTTGACTGACACATGGTTAGCTGGGCTTCCGCATGACGAGTCTTCGCATCTCAGCAAAGATTCGCCTGCACTACCTACGATGCTTATTCAACCTCCCAATCTCAATGCTAGACATGTTGGCGCCTGGTCAGACAGCCGCCATTATTACCATCACCGCAAGTATCTTGCAGCTGGGTATCTCCGAGAAAATGGGACAGTTCTTCTCTAGTCTTGCAGTCGTCATTGCAGGGTTTACCATCGCTTTCGCCTACAACTGGCTTCTCACACTAACGACGAGCTCCGGGCTGGTCTTCATCGCCATCGTGTATGCCATCACCACGCCGCCAATCATCAAGAGGTTGAAGGATGTCCAGGACATGGATATCCAGGCTGCCTCCGTCGCGACCGAGGCTTTCAGCTCAATCCGAATGCTTGCTGCGTGCGGTGCCGAATTCAAGTTGCTTGCAAAGTATGGAATATTGGCAGATCAATCACGGAAGAGGGGTGCTGGTATGGCTTGGCTCATTGCGGTTCAACAAGGATTGAGTAAGTTGGCACGATTTCACTGATAGAGTTATTCCTTGCTGACATTCCAAAGTTTTCTTCGCCATCTACGCGTAAGGATCCGATCCAACGGACACTCAAGCTTGTCAGCTAACACGTTTAGAACCTTCGCTCTGTCATTCTGGTACGCTTTCCAGATGTACACTATGATGGCCCTGACGACTCCCACATCCTTGATCGTGTAAGTCATTATACTCCCTCAGGATCAGCTCGAGTAACTCATCCGAAATACAGTGTTCTTCTCTGCATTATGATGATGGCCTCCTCTTTGGGTCAAATCACTGCGCCACTACAGTCCGCATCGCAGGCCGCCGACGCCAACGCCATCTTCCACACCATCATAGACGCCCCCAAAGCTACGTACGGAACGCTCAGGGCGCCCGAGGTCTCGGCCGCTGAAGATATCGTTTTCCAGGCCGTCAACTTTGTGTACCCCAAGCGTCCCGACGTGAAGATCTTGGACAACCTGTTCCTCACGTTCCCTGCCGGCAAAGTCACTGCCATTGTGGGTCCTTCGGGTTCCGGAAAGAGCACAATCGTTGGCATTCTGGAGAGATGGTACGAGTTCAATGGTGACATGCAGACTAATCAACTGGTAAGCTATGTACTCTTTGACTGCATTCGTGAGACAGTAACTGACGCCATATCAGGTTCTCTGGCTCCGCAACGGTATCATCAGTGTCGGCGGCCGGTTACTCAGCGAGATCGATCCCAAGTGGTGGCGTAGTCAAATCGGCTTGGTCCAACAAGACAACGCTCTCTTCAACACTACTATCTTCAAGAACGTCGAGTACGGTCTCATCGGGACTGAATGGGAGCACAAGTCCCAGGCGGTTAAGGCAAGGCTGATTGAAGAGGCGTGCAAGGACGCCTTTGCCGATGAATTCATCTCACGTTTGCCAGAGGTATTATCTCCAAAGCCTCCGCGTCAGACTCGTATACTAACCCGCGTTAGGGATACCAAACTGAAGTTGGTGATGCTGGTATCAAGCTCAGCGGTGGTCAGCGCCAGCGTCTCGCCATTGCTCGTGCCATCGTCAAGCAGCCCAAGATCCTCATTCTCGACGAGGCCACTTCCGCCATCGATGTCCGCAGCGAGCAGATTGTACAGGCCGCTCTCGACCGTGCATGCAAGGGACGCACAACCATCATCATCGCCCATCGCCTCGGAACCATCAAGAAGGCCGACAACATCATTCTCCTGCGCAAGGGCCAGGTCGTCCAGCAGGGTACGCACGAAGAGCTCATGTCCCAGGTCGACGGTCCTTACCACCTTCTGGCTACTGCACAGAAGCTCGACATGGGCGTCGAAGAGGAAGAGGATGTCCTCTTTGGTGACCTCAGCTGGAGACGACCCGAGCCTGAGCGTCTTTCTGTTCACAAGTCTCTTCAAGGAGGCAGCAGTACCGGGGATCTCACCGAGAAGAGACCCAGTAGCGAGGGCACTTCCACGGGCATGCTTCAACATCTCCACGAGATTAACGGCTCTGACGAGGAGCTCGAGCGCATCGAAGCCGGTAGCTTGAGAGTTGTCAGGGAGCCAAGAGGATGTCTCGGTCGATGGAGAGCATTCCACATGTTCGGTAGCTTTGGTCAGCTGCTCGGCGAGCAGAGGAAGAGATGGAAGACGTACATCATCATTGCATTTGCAGCACTCGGTGCTGGAGGTAAGCGCTCACTGCCATTCGTTTTTCCAGTCTGGAGCCGAGAGACTAATACGATCCACAGCGAGCACTCCCGTTCAAGCTTACCTCTTCGCGGTTCTGGTTTCTCTCTTCTCTTACTGGGGCAACTTCCTAAGAGTCATCGCCAATCATTGGTGTGAGATGTTCATGTATCTCGCTACAGGTGTGGGAGTCAGTCACTTCCTGCTCGGCTGGGCTACCACCACCATCGGCTTCGTAAGTCACTCGTCCATCTCTGCTAGGTGCTTTTCTAACAATTTCTCAGGGTATCGTCCGCGTCTATCGCAAGGAGTACTTCCGAAACATCATCTACAAGCCTTCTTCATTCTTCGACGCCGAGGGCAACTCCGCTGGTTCCCTGACGGCCCGCCTCGCCACCGATCCTACCATGCTCCAGCAGCTCCTAGGCACAAACATGGCTTTCGTTCTCATCTCGCTGTTCAACGTCATCGGCTGCGTTGTCGTTGGTCTCGTCTTCGGCTGGAAGCTCACCCTTGTCGCGCTCGGCACATCCATGCCCATCATCGTGGCAGCCATGTTCTACCGTGTGAGGCACGAGACCAGCTTCGAGACTGCCAACAATGCCGTCTTTGCCGAAAGTGCCAAGTTTGCGTCGGAGAGCATCAGTGCGATCCGCACCGTCTCTAGTCTTACGATGGAAGACGGAATTTGCGACCGCTACGACAACTTGCTCAGGGACCACATCAAGGATGCTTTCCGCAAGTCTCGCTTTTCCGTCATGGTCTTTTCTTTCAGCGATAGTATTTCGCTGCTCTGCATGGCTTTCGTACTTTGGTGAGTGCCTCTAAGTGTGGATTGCAGACTTTATTGCTGACTATCTGCAGGTACGGTGGCAAGCTGCTTGCCGGGCATGAGTACACGCCCTTCCAGTACAGTAAGTATATACAACTCATCGAGGCCGTCTGTTTACTGACATTTTGCAGTGGTTGTCTACATTGCGGTTGTTCAAGGCGGCATGAGCGCCGGTCAATGGCTCAGTTTTGGTCCCAGTATGTGCCCCTCTACTCCCATACGTGAATGCAGCTGACAGTCGATAGACATTGCCAAGGCAAAGACAGCAGCCGATCGCATCCTGGCTCTCCGTGAGAACGAAGACGACGACAACCAACCCCAGAAGGGCGTCAGCGACATCATCCCCTACGAAGTTCACTACGAGAAGGGTGTCGAGATCGACTTCAAGGACGTCTGGTTCAGCTACCCCACAAGACCCCTCCCCGTCCTCAAGGGCCTGGACCTCAGAATCGAGCGAGGCCAATTCGCCGCCATCGTTGGACCTTCCGGCTCCGGCAAGACGACGATCATCTCCCTCCTCGAGCGCTTCTACACCCTCCAGGCCGGCGGCGAGATCTTGTACAACGGACACGACATCAAGACGCTCGACCTCGTCAACTACCGCAAGAACATCTCTCTCGTCTCCCAAGAGCCCAATCTCTTCACCGGCTCCATCCGCGAGAACATCCTACTCGGTATCGAAGACGAGGACGCCGTCTCAGACGAAGCGATCCACGCCGCGGCGCGGGATGCAGGTATCCACGACTTCATCATCTCTTTACCCGAGGGCTACAACACCCAAGTCGGCAACGCCGGCGTCACACTCTCCGGAGGCCAGAAGCAGCGCGTCTCCATCGCGAGAGCGCTCATCCGCCGGCCGTCGCTGCTGCTGCTCGACGAAGCGACGAGCGCGCTGGACAGCGAGACAGAACGCGGCGTCCAGGCCGTGTTTGACGCCACCAAGGGCAGCCGGACGATGATCATGGTCGCTCACAGGCTCGCGACGGTGCAGAATGCCGACGTCATCTTTGTCATGGCGGACGGTAAGGTCGTTGAGCGGGGTGATCACGCGAGTTTGATTGCCGAGAAGGGCATTTACTTCCAGATGGTGAGTCTTGTTCCTCTTCCGTACCCCATTGGATCCTCTTGACCCTTGACTAACTTTCAACAGTGTCAATCACAAGCGTTGGATAAATAAAATCCATGGGTTCCACTCTCTATCCGGGGTTTAGACAATAAGAAGGCGGAAAGTGGTAAAGGCGTCAGAGAAAGATTGTGTAAAACTAACATCAATACCACGGGGTTATTTGCGAATTTTCTTCATTCAACAAGGTGCATTTTCCACTTATTTGTTACAACCTCAAAGTTATCAACTTTGCATGTCATCTAGTCTCCATTTAGAAATAACTTTACTCGAATTTTGAGAGAATTCTCTAATTCATTTCACCGACATCAGTGGCTCTATTGAGTCGAGTCATCAAGGCGAGATGCTACCACCCACTCCACCACCATCACAATCAAGTCAATCACGCGATGCATGGAGTCACTGAGCGTCCTCGCACGTCACGAGAAGAATCAACATAGCAAACATAACGTTCAACGCTTTTTTCAAATTTGAATTCTATTTTACACATTCTTCAATACTGTGAGTTTTCCCCACTGAAGCCTTTTTTCTTCTTTTCTCGTGTCCGGGGGCCTTTGGGATCTGGGTTCCCAGGCATCAACAAATCGGAAACGCAAATCGCAAAACATGGACATTGAAAGAGTAACACAACAACACAATACCTCTGGGATCCCGTACATCCGAACAAACAACATCGGATATGTGGCTTGTGACGGACACGGGGCGCGCCAAGTTCGCCAAGCACCACCAGGCCGCTGAGCCGTCGCTCTCATCTTCGTGGTTGACGAGCGGACCAGACCCACAGGAACGCCCGTTCATCCCATTGTCGGTCACCGACTGGGAAACAGGAACCGGAACCGGGGATTCATTACATATACCTCGTCACAAAAACATCCGAACCCAAAACACACAATGAACCACGTCAAAACGTAGGCGCGACCCTTTCTTCGCTCTGCTCCATTACGCTCCTGAGCTTCAGTGCCCGGAGGGAGCTCGTGGATCTCTGCGGCACATGGCCCGCCGCTGCCCTACCACCGCTCATGGCTCCCGCGCTGCCCATGCTCATGGTAGACCTTGAGCGTACTAGCCCGCCGCCCATGGCCTGGTGGTGATGATGACTGGTCGAGGACATGGCAGCGGAGCCGCTGCGAGGTCTGGTGTTGAGGCGGCTCATCATAGAGCTCAGAGCACTTTGCGCGTCGACGGGGTGGTTGAGTGGCGGAGAGTGAGAGCCGATAACAGGGTATGGAGCGGGTGAATTGGGACCCGAAGGTGGTCCTCCTCGGGTGAGCGATGCCCCACGGGGCCGATTGAGCTTGGAAAGTAGCATTTCTGCTGTCGGCTTCCCGTGTGGTTGTTGACTAATGCCATATGGGTGATTTAACCGCGTTGGCGAGCGACTTGAGCCGCGGCTTGAAGGTGGCGTCGGAAGCACCCTGTTCCCGTTGCCGTTGTTGCCATGCTTCAGCCTCATGGCGTGCTCCGGTCCGAGACCAAGACCCAGCATGGCGTCGCCAGCCATTTCCGGTGGTGAAAGCGGGCCGCCGTTCTGAGGCATCTCGAGCAGTGCGGCCCTTTGGATGTCTTCAAAGTTCATAGCAACAGCTGGCATCTTACTCAGCCTGCGGATGGCACGGCTATTCTTCTCGACGAAACTATTCATAGCCCGCAGCGCGCCCGCGTTTTCGCGGCTCGCGACAGCGCTGGTATCGCCTGTGCTGCGACCACGGGCCTGGTGCACAGCGTTGAGGGTCAGAGGCTGCTGCTGCCCGTGGTGAGCAGGGGACGAGGCGTCGTGACCGCCCCCAGCATGTAAGCTGGCCTGCACTTGCGCCATGACCCGATCAAAGTCAATGTTCTGATTCGGGTTTGCTCTTGACATGTAATACGGCGCTGAGGTCGGCTGCTCCAGCATGCTCGGGTTGAGCTCCGCTTTGGTGGCGAGCACAAAGAGGCTTCCGTCACGGATGCGGCGGCGGACGAGGGCCCAGCGGGTCCGGGCCGGGTTTTGCTCGAGCTTGGGCTGGTAGACGGAGCAGCGGGCGAGCTGGGCGTAAAAGACCTCGAGGTGGCGAGCCATACGCTCGAGAACCTGAAGGAGAAACGTGGAAAGTGCGGTGAGGCGGGTATTTTCGACATCTGGATCGGACGAGTCTTTCATTGACGCTGCGATGCTGTCAAAGGCGTCCATTCCAGCGCACGCTTCCTGACGGAGGTCTTCGAGAAGGGCAATGTCAAGCTCGACGCTACGGGCTGCGTAGGCAAAGACACCGCGTTCTTGGAAGCGAAGCGAGGCGTCGGCGTCGCAGACGAACTGACCGACGAGGGCGACCTCTTTGGTGCAGTGCGCCGCATCTCCGCTCGTCTTTGCGCGGGCCACGGTGCCGAGGACGTCGGGCAGCTTGGTGTCGGCGGCCGGACCATTGGCACTGGCGACACCGAATGACAGTTTGAGGACAAGCTCTTGAAGCTTGTGGCCAAAAAGAGCCGAGAAGCCTCCCTGGAGCAGTCGACTCTGGTAGCCATAGAATGTGCGGACAGCGATGATATTAGGCAGACTCTCGCGCAGCCAGATATTGTTGCTGCCTGCAGGGTCGTGGGACGAGTTGGTCTCAAGGGACGCGCCCATGATCTCGTACATCTCAAATTGATGGGCCACCAGGGTTTCGACAGTGGATCGGAGGTACGCCGACCAGAGATCGTGCAAAGCAGAGATCTCATCGCTGCCGTAGTCGGGCTTCGGGGTCAGGTGTCCAACAAAGTACTTGGTCAACAGACTAGAGACTTCGGGGTTGTTGGTGTGAGCGAGGTTGTCAAATGACTTAGAACAGTCAACACCCGCGTTGGACTTGATGATGAGCGTTCCGCCGGGGTGCATGGGACAGAAGTCGGTAACATCGTAGACACTGCCGTGGACTCCGATCCACATGCGAGAACCGGGACGGTGACCTGTATGCTTTGCGAGCTCCGACAAGGGAATCGTCGGCAGGTTGCAAGGCAGAGGCTTGGGCGTCATGAAAACATCGAGCATAAAGCGTCTCTCCGCAAAGGCCTTGTCGATAATCAGGTCAACTCCCTTTTCCGTGGCGGTCCTGTAAGTGTAGATTGCCTTCCTGATTCCGTTCATAACGGAATCGAACACGGAGACGGAACCACAGACGTAGAGGTAGCCGCCGAGACCTCCCTGCTTCTTGGACATGACGAGGTCACAGACCTGCAGACCTTGTTCGACGATCAATGTGTCGATGTAGCGAGGGGGGATGTGCTTCTCGACGAGATCCTGGCCCTCGTAAGCGAGGCCACGAGAGTCCCTCGAGAAGGCGACGTGGACTTCCATGAAGTCTGCGTTGACATACTGTCGCAGCTCCTCCTCGAAGCAGAATTTCTCACGGTTCTGGACTCCGAGGTACAGAAGGTTCTTGCCACCAGACAAGCCACTTTGTGTGAGGCGAGCCTGCCAAAAGCTGCGGAAGGGTGCGATGCCGCTTCCGCCGGCGAAGAAGGCGCAGGGTGCCATAGGGTCAAGCGGGAGGTGGAAGGCTGCTGGGCGAGAGACGCCAATGAGAATCTCGTCGTCTGAGTCAATCTCGCCCATCTCCACGGGCGGGTTCAGGAATCCACTGGAGACTCCGGCACGGGTGATTTCCTTGCCCCTGGAAAAGGTAGAACACAGCTTGTATTCCGAACGGGACACAGCGAGGTCAACTGTCTCTGGGAGGAGTTCTTCCGTGTAGCTTGCGATGGAGTAGGTGCGTGGGACCTCAAGGGGAACAAGATCCGCAAGCCATGCGAGATTGTCGAGGTTGAATACCCTATCCCAGATTTGGGGTGGCGTATCTGTAACGGCGTCCTGCAAGAGGTCGCCTAACGATCCTCTGACGGGCCACTCATCCGTGCTGAGGACCTGCAAGACGGTGTTGGAGGATGCATGCAGCAAACCATGAACCTTGAGGGCCATCTCCTTGGTGATGGGGGCAAGGTGGCCACGTCGAAGAATGTCACCGACAGTGAGCTTGGGTGTCGCGGTTCTCCTGACAGACCCGAGATGCATCTCGAAGCGAGCCCAGATTCCGCTGACCTCGACCGGGGCGTCGATATGCTCCTCCAAGCCCAAGGCGGCGATGACTTTGGCGCACTCCTCCCACCCATTTAGGGGCATCACGGCCAGGCGATCACCTGGTGCGAACGTGATGCCGGTCTCTCGGATATCGAGCGTGACCATTGCAATTGAGCGTGATGGATCAGAATCAACAAAAGATCTGTTCAACACGCGAGTGACATAGCGGCATTCTTCGAAAGTGCCGCGCATCTGGTGCGGCTCGATTGCCAGTTTGCCTCGATAGGGTTCGAGGCGTTCCTTCATTGCCTCTGAGAACTGGCGATGGGTCTCTTCCCATGGGCGCTCGCCGTCTGCCGCACCCGATGCGCCGTTGGTCTCCGTTCGGCCAGTTTTGGCGGCTACCTCGAGGATGCCGAAGACCTTGTAGCGGTGCACTCCCATGAAGCCACGTTCACCGGTATAAGCTTCGACGATACCATCAAGAACTCCCATAAGACGCGGGTCGCCGGACTTCTGGACGTATTCAGGGATGCGGTAGTGGTACTCGATGGCCGCAATAAAGGCGCGCAGGTTGGCAGGGAACCAAGCACGGAGGTGGACACCCTCGGCCCCCAGGAATGAGGTGTAGCTGGAAATAGTATCAGTGACCGATTGAAAAAGCAGGCAAGATGATGCTCGACTTACTTGCTTCTGCCCAAGAAAGCATCCATTACCAAGTAAGGTGGGAACTGCAGGCCTGAGGAGGCAGGGCATCGCTTTGAGAGAGGAGCGGAGAACTTGGCCCAGCGGACCCATTGCTGAACAGGCACGTAGTTTTCACCGGCATTAGGGTTTGTTGAGATGGAGTGGAAGGCGTTGGGCATGCGCTCGAGAATCTCCTTCAGACGAATCATCTCGTGAAGAAGGCCTTCGTTGTTGCGGTTCATGACATGCTCTTGGCATGCTGCAATAGCGTCAGGCCCGTGTTGGAAGGAAGCTATCTCATCAAGTCAGTAACCATGTCGCGAAACAATAA